GTACCTACGGCGGGCATAAAAACGTGAAATCGTAGAACTGGTTCAGCTCGGGTTGGAACTGAACCAACCGGTCATATCAATTTCGGTTTTGATTTTTATCTCTACATAACCGGTTTGGATCAAACTGAATTGTATTATTAATTAACTTTTTTATTTTAAATATAATCCACATTTGGCCTTTGTTTTTATCTGTCTGTTCAACCTAAATATAAAAGTTCATACCTAAAGCTCTCAAACTTAAGCCCAAATAACTTAACATTGCCAACCTTGCAGAAAATCTAGTCAAAATTTCAAATCCTAAGTCATGATAACCTCTCATTCATCTCCCAGCCGTCACACTCTCTCTCTCTCTCTCGATCTCTCGATCTCTCTCGATCTTCATGGCCTTTGCTCCCTCCTTACTCATCGATATCTCAAAATCTCCTCACTTGCTACCAAAATTTCCACCTTATCGATCTTCACGGTCTCTCGATTTTCTGCTTCTTCCTCTCCCACTGCGATTTAGGCACCGAAAAGGTGATGACAAGAAAAGAAGATGAAGCAGTGCATCCGCTTCCCTCCTCTTCCTTGTTAGATTGTCACACTTCCCTCCTTAGATATGCGGCTTCTGTTTTGGCTTTTCACAAAGGGTAATTCTAGGAAGTGAAATTGTAAACAAAATTTACAAATTAAATTATGTGTCACCAAAATGAATGAGAATATTTATCAACGTTTAAACAGTAATCCAATTATCAACTTACATGTCATTTAATTTATATATTTTTGTCTATAAATTTAATCTCCATAGCATTATCATTTCATAAAACCCAAAAGACCAACCAAACAATAAATGAAATGAGCTAAGGCCTAGAACCGGTTGTGAATCGAACATCTGAATTGTTCGGATCAAATTCGATTTGGTTTTTGTAACTAATATTGATAAGAACTGAATCGGACCGAATTGTAGCTTTTCTCTGTTCCAATTCTAGTTTGAGAGGTAAATCGGACCAAACCAAATTCTGTCCACCCCTACTTTTACCCATAGTCATACCTTAATTTGTCGAATACTCATAGCAAAAGGAAATTTCAATGGAAGGCATATTCAAATGTAATTGATTGAAGAAGAGGAAAAAAATTGAAAGTACAGTTTAGACAGTCCTCGTGCAAAAACAGAAGAAGAAAGTTTTAACCAAATTAAATGTTCCATTTTAAAATAGGAGTCTCAATATATGATGTTCTGAGACTATCAACTAAAATGGTTCAAATAAATATAATTTGACGTAAAGTAATACATATCGAATTATAACGAGAGTATTACTTTGTCTTTGTCATCGTTTGCTACATATTGTCATACAAGCTAAATAAAAATATTAGAAGCAAGAAAAACTTATTGTTGTGAAGAAGGAGCAAATGAATAGGAAGAACAAATGAATAGGAAGAACAAATAAGAAAGGTGCAAGAGAGAAAACACGGGGAGGGTTTGAAATTGGAAGAACGAATAAGAAAAATGCAAGAGAGGAAGAAGAAAACATGGGGGAAAGTATATAAAGACCATTATTCTGTCGCTTACAACGGACACCGGGTTTTAAAATATTTAAAAAAACTAAAATCTATGTCACTCATAATCGACGCAGGCTTTAAAATGTTTAAAAACAATAAGGACAAGTTTGTGTGGCGTTGAAATAAGGACAAGTTTGCGTCGGTTAAAACTGACGTGTCCCTGACAGTCTTGACAGTCGTAGCAGGCGGCCTTGAAATAGGACAAGTTTGCGTCGATTCAAACCGACGTGAGCCTGACATGTCAGTGCACTTGGATGTGGCATCGAAATAAGAAAACTTTTGCGTCGGTTAAAACCGACTCCAACACTAAACTGAAAAAGCTCTTCCAGTCGTTTGCCCCTACACTTATACTTTATGTCGCTTAAAAGCGACACCAGTATTTAAAAATATTAAAATGTATGTTTACGTTGGTTTAAAAGCGACACCAGTATTTTATGACGTTTATAAGAGACAGTAGATCCGATGTCATGTTCATTTAGTGTCGCAACTGTCTTGTGTGCCACTATATTAAATTAAACCGACACCACCCACTGACACTATAAGACCATTTTGTAGTAGTGGCATAATAAGGGACATGGTTTTAAAGAATAAGGAGTTCTCGTACCATTACAAAAGGTTTAAGGAACGTTTGGGAATTGGTATAAGATATAGTTATCCCAATATTTCTTTTTGACAAACTAGTAGATATTTACAATTCACCTACTATGTCACAAGAAAGTTCACTACTAAAAAGTTTGGGACTATAAAGACTTGTTTCATTCAGTTTCTTTTGAGCTTAACACAATCACAATGATACTAGTCACAACTAAGTATGGAACTCATCAAACAATTATGTCATCTTATCATTTATGTAAGTTGGACTTGTAACCTCTTTAAGGAGAGATAAATACTACTAGGCTAAAAGTTAGTTGGTGATGGGACCATGATTTTCCAAGGCAGAAGTAAGGCTGATTGAAATACAGTTACCTTAAAAGTATGATCATAGACTCAATAGCTCCGAGCAGAGCTAGATCAGACGAAGTAGCGGTGCCACCATCACCTTGTTTGGGGGCAATAGGCGAAGTTCGAGCAGTTCTGCTGGTATGACCACGCTTGTTCCACAAAATACCAGATGTGGAATCAATCAGATCATTCATATGTCTTGAAGTTCCTACAATCTAGAAATTGGTATGCACCGCAAGTAATCACAACTCCTAAGAGGGTGCAATATCTACTTCTAGATATCCTCTAGGATTCTCTTGACTTAGAACGATGATTCTATCCTAAAAATGTCACTCTTCCAACGTATAAATACACCCATCTAGGGTTTATCTTTGGTAATGCAATCTTTGTGTTCTAACTCTCTTGCCCATTACTTGAGTCTTAAAACTTATTTACTAACTTGATTGTCGGAGAGTCTTTGGCCAGCACACCCATCTCGCGTCTTAAGCTTGTTCACAGTTATTCTTTGTTTTGCAAGTTACTCAAATTCGTGCCTTCACCATCTGCGGCGATGTGTAAGTTTGGTTCCAATAATTGGTGCTTTCATTGAAAGTGAACTCATATATCTCTTAACCAGATCACTCTACAACAAACATGACTGCTGAAAAAAATTTTGAACGCCAATGTTAACCCTGTATCGGAAAACAATCCACTTTTTTATGCATCTGTTGTCCCAATGACAGGAAACCCACTGCCTGACACCTCTGCCACTCCTGGAGCAGGTAACAACCCGCAAGAAAATCGTACATCATTGATCCAAACAGAGGTCCTTTGCGTGACGGCCAAATCACCAACATTGCTTCTAGAAGCAGGCTTCGAGCCCCACATGACTCTCCCTCCCTGAATGCAACAACGGCACTAAGAACGGAACTCGTCACTTGAGGTTCTATGAACCATAATCTTTTTATTAATATACTCTCATCCACCTATATTATAACACATAAAATCGTACATCACATGACACGTGTTCATGGTACACTTAAAACTTGTCTCTGCAATGGATATGTGATCAATTTGTCTTGATGGCATATGTGACAATTATATTTGTCTCATAAAAAAATTGTCACTCGAAGGTTTGAATCCGGACTCAGTTGATTAAAGAGGAATGCCCTAACGACCAGGCAATCCACAACTTACATGGAGCAGTAAAATGAAGTTGTCTAGGCATTTGACTAATCCTTTGGGGGAGTTAAACCAAACTGAAAACCTGGATGCATTGTTGCCTCGTGAGAGAAACTTTCATAAAATTGATTTACAATCACCATTGTACCTCGGGCCACTCATACAAGACCATGTTAAGAGAGTTTACTCATAACATTATATTAGTTATTAGTGACGTCATACTGCCAGCTACTTTTTCTATGTAATTTCTTCTCCTAGGTTACATTGTCACAATTCGAAGGACAAACCAATTCCCTTTTTTTTAGTACAGAATCCGTCGATTTTGAAAAGTTTGCTAATATGTGAAAGTGAATAAAAATATAAAAAAACAAAATAAAATAAGGAAAACTAATAAAAATGACTTAAAAACTTTGAATTTTAACGATAAGGACAAAATAAATGGTAAAATGAATAGTATCATGATTGATTTTTTAGTGTAAAAATGTGATTTTTCGTTAAAATGAACAGTACCGTAAGTTTTTTTTTGTTAAAATTTCCAATAAAATATGGTTACTGTTTGCTTCAAATTCTGGTGTTTAAACACTATTCACATGTCACACAAAAGCCATTTACCAAATATAATGGAAAAGCATACCCATAATTTATAAACTAAGGTGTCTTATCAAGTTTTGTGCTTTTTTTCAATTATAATTACCTTTAACATAGTAAAGGCTTTTTCAGAAATTTGGATGAAACATTTTCTGCAGAATTTCTTTCCCATTTTGTACAAGTTGGTGGAAAAAGTAAAAACATGGTAAGACTGGTTTCTTACTCCCGCTTTCATCGCTGATTTACGATTCCCCGCGCTGGTTTGCTCAACAGTGACCCTCCACGCACCCATCCACATAGCCATATTGGGCATTAGGGATTTGGATCCTCTCCTGAGCTAATGGAGAGGATCCTCCTGATCCATAATGGTAAATCCAACGGTTATAATTATTATAACTTTAAAGGAATCCTCCTGTTTGTAACCGTTGGATAAAAATCCAACGGTCTAAGATGATGGGTCAGGAGGATCCTCTCCATTAGCTCAGGAGAGGATCCAAGTCCGGGCATTAGGACTGACTGACTGACTGACTGACTAGTGACTGTCCCAGACAGACAGAGAGAGAGAGAGAGAGAGAGAGAGAGAGAGAGAGAGAGAGAGAGAGAGAGAGAGAGAGAGGAATTGGCCTTCGGGTTGGGTGGCCTTTTTGGCCTTTTGCCTTTTGTCCAACCTCCTCCAGTGAGGAAGAAAAGGAACAAACAACAGAAGAAAACAGTTCACCCAAAAAAAAAACAACAGAAGAAAACAGTGACTTGAGCTCCTTGTTATAAGACCTAGAACCACCACTCAAAACCCCCACCTCTCCTCTATCTCTCTCTCTCCCTCTCCCACATACACTTCACTTTTGGTTCCATTTCTTCACACCAGCATGAACAACCACCACAGCAGCAGCCCTCTTCTTAGCAGTTGGGCTTACTACTGCCAAGGAAAGGTACCAAAACAACCAAAAACAAACACAATTTTTGTAAATTTTCAGCTTCTTTGGAGCTTTCTGAACTTATAGTCTAATTTGCTCCTTGAATTTGCACAATGGGGTTTCTCCACAATTTCATTCCCAACTTTCAATTTTACATCTTTACTTGGGTTTTGGTGAGCTTCTCATTATGCAAATTTAAGCACGTCCTGAGCCCTCGGGCGGAGTGTCCTGCTAACCCGAGGGCTCATGGTGTGCTTAAATTTGCATAATGGGGTTTCTATTTCTAACAATTTGAGACCCAAAACCTCAAATTTTATTACTTTTCTGAAATTTTTGCTAAAAATTTACAAATTTTTATGATCACACAGAGCATGGAAGAGTTGAGGCAGTCCCTTTTGTACACAACCGTGGAGCTTGAGCAAACAAGAGCAGCAGTTCAAGAGGAGCTAAGAAAAAGAGATGATCAGATATCCCATCTCAAAGATCTGCTCCAAAAAGCCATCAGAGAAAGAGATGAAGCCCAAGGCAAGTGCCAAAGACTCCTCCTTGAAAAACTCCTCCAACAAACCCAGCAGCAGCAACACCAGCAAACCCAGCAGAATCAGCAAACAGCTCCTCTCTCTGGAATTTCAAGCATTGAAGACGAACCCAGAAGAGGAATCGACTCTAACAATGGCTTCTCCTCCTCAGATTGTGAAGAAAGCATTGTTTCTTCCCCAGTTATTGACCCAATTCAGCAAACCCAGCAGCTGCCACCACGACCATCTTTGCCACACCCATCAGTGGAGCTGCTGCCTGAAAAGGGAAAGCTTTTGCAGGCTGTGATGAAAGCCGGTCCATTGCTTCAAACCCTACTTCTGGCAGGCCCTCTGCCGCAGTGGAGACACCCGCCGCCGCCGCTGGAGTCGTTTGAGATCCCCCCTGTGACCATTCCTTCACCACCACCTCAACCACCATTGCACACCCAGCTCCAGCACCAAGACTCCTCCAACGTTAACTGCGGCATAGTAAACAGAAAGAGAGTCCTCTGTGATGGCTCTGCCTCTCCTCCAGAGACCAAGTTCCAAAGGGTTGCCCTCCGCTGACTCTGCAGCTGCTGCTTCAGATTATTAGTATTAATCTATCCCTTATTTTTACAGTTTGATATTTTAAAAAATTAATACAACTAAAAGGTTAGTGAGGATGAAAACAAAACCATGAATTTCCAAAATTTCATTTGGGTTTTTGTGACCGATCCATCTAGCATTTGTACAGAGAGAGAGGTTTGTTTCCAGGTTAACTCAGTGAGAGAAGGCAGTAAAAAATTCAGAGAGCTTTGTTTGTTTATTGGGGGTTTAAATTTGCCTATTTTCTTTTTAGTCATTCACATTCTATTTTGGTCCATAATGTGAAAGGGGACTTGGAATTTTATCCAAATTGTTGTGGGATGGAAAATGTGACTCTGATTCTAGTTCAGTAAATTAAGTTGATTGTGTTTGTGTCTTGGTCGGACGGATAACGCGTGTCGGAAGCTCTGCCCCGGGATTTCTGTAGAGTGAGACGAGCAAATCAAACACTAAGATTGTAGGTGTGGAGTTGTTGTATTTTTGGAGAAGATGGGTGGTGTGGCCAACAACCAGAAAGGTTAAGAGCCCTGCTTGTCGGTTTGAGTGGAACCCAAAAATCAGAATCAGGATCTGCTACTGGTGTGATGTATGATTATATATATTTACAACATATATATATATATATATATATATATATATTTGGGGGGAAGCATGATTGTTCAAGTCCAATCCCCATGTTGAATTCTCTCAACATCAATATTTGTTTTCCCTCCTTTCTAGTTTAATTTTTAATTCTAAATTAACTAAAGCATTTTTTTTCTTCTAATCTGCACCCACTTACTTGGTTATACTTAATTTAGCTTAAGCCTTTATCTCTCAAAAGTGGAGCAAATGATTGCAGGTTAATCCTACTTGCCAATAGCATTTCATTACTAAAACATACTCAGTTGACTTTGCAGTTGCTAATTCATTGGCAATGAGCAATCAGGGCACAAGTTAAGTTCTCCCAAAACTTACGAGAGAAAGGACTTGGATTGTCTGCCGTCCTAGTTGTGGTGCCCTTCCATACCCTCCTATTTTGTGCGGTCACGGTTAAGCTACGTCAATATTTTATATTAATTTTTAATGAGATAATAAGATAAAAAATAAGTAAAATATAAAATATTGACGTGGCTTAACCGTGATCGCACAAAATAGGAGGGCATGGAAGGGCACCACAACTAGGAGGGTAGACAATCCTTGTCCCGAGAGAAACTCAGTTGCAACGAGGTGTATACAATTTTTTTTCTTATCTCTCTTCTTACGTGTTGTGACTTGTAACAAGAGAGAGATCGAGAGAAAGAAGCATATGTATATTGATAAGGAAAGAACTTGGCTGTTGAAGAATTTAGCAGCCAATCCTACTTACAACCAATCCGGGATGGACATGTGTCCAAATTTTTGATTAAAAAATCAAAAAATCAAAACTTGAACACTTGTCCATCCCGGATTGATTGTAAGCAGGACCGGCTGCTGAATTTACAGTAGCCAAGTTGTGTTCTAATACATCTTGTTGCAGCTAAAGTCGTTCCGCTAAATGAAGGTAGAAGCCCAGTTTAATATTCCAAGTGAAAATTGAGAGCCAAGTACAATATTTTCCATCAGTTGTGGCACCATCAAATGCTATTTAGGTAATATTAGTAAGTTTTGGTAGATAGAAGTTATGGACCAATTTTGGTTGTATGCAGCTCAAACAGCTGCAGTCCTTGTATTTATCTGACTTAAGCCACAAGTGAGTCAGGTGACAAGACATTAGGTTTTCAATTAGAAAACAACTCGACTTGCACATGGAGACATGTCACATGTGACCTTCCAAACCAAAGCTCTCTAATATAGCAATTCCCCGGCCCATACTTTTCTCTTGTAAAGTATGGTTTGTTGTTAAAATGATTACATTTCAATTAGATTGTGTTTGGGCGAGAGATTTTCACTTCTTAGGTCCAGTTATAATTGAATGGATTACAAAATGTTAGGCTGAGGAGGTTAAGAAGACTCTCTATGAGCATTACAAGGGCATGCGAGAGGGATTTGCAACTAGCTTTTTTAAGTAGGAATTGACAAATTACTCACATATCTTTTGTAATGCTCATGGAGCATGTTTGTACCATATTTGACCAATCTCGAAACTACTGAGCACCGGTCAATGTTATACCGTCAAGGATCCAGAAGATTTTCCTTCCAACTAGGAAGCCAATCACAGCGCGACACGTGTCGACATCAGAAGCCAATCACAGCGCGACACGTGTCAACATCAGAAGCCAATCACAACACGACACGTGTCAATGTCAGAATGAAACTAGAAACTCTCTTCTATAAATAGAGATCATTCTCTCACAATATTTCCTAATGTCATTTGTACTAAATCATTCACTAGTACTCACTAAAGGAGAGCTTGAACCTATGTACTAGTGTAAACCCTTCACAATTAATGAGAATTCCTTTACTCCATAGACGTAGCCAATCTGGGTGAACCACGTACATCTTGTGTTTGCTTCCCTATCCCTATCCGTTTACTTACTTATCCACACTAGTGACCGGAGCAATCTAGCGAATGTTACAAACTTAACACTTTCTGTTGTACCAAAGTCCTCGCTGATTTTGTGCATCAACAGAGCACATTCTCAATACTTTAAAAACTTATTCCTGATGTAAATATTTGAGACATTTTAATTCAACCTAAACTGCAAGAATGAGATTTGTGAACTTTAGAATAGAAGGAGAGTATACTGATCTAGCAAACTTAACTAGATCAAGCCCATGAGTATTTTTTTAAGCGTACTTAGAAGACAACCATGTGGCGTTACTATTCTACTCAAAATATAGCTTGTGGATTTGTTTTTTATTAATATATCTTAAAAGTTAGACATATCAACTATATCGTCTACTCTTATTAAAAACATAGAATAATACTTCATGTGATTTGTATTTCGACTTATAACACGTAAACTAAGTGCTAATAAGTTCAAACTTGCACATTATACTTTTATTATTATACAGTTTAAAACTATATAAAACATGGGATTAAATTATATAGTAATGTAGTAGTGGTTTACAACCACAAGAAGAAAGTTCCTTGGAAGCCACAGTGATTGCAATTTTATTGCCCATCGTTCGAGTCATCATCCAAATTTGAAAACGTAATGCCATAGGCTTTTCAAATCTACACCAATGATGTCACCTATATTTCATAATCCAAGAGTACTTCCACGTTCCAAGTACAATTGATAGCAATACCTTACCCAATAATAATACATACATAACAATAATTATGCGACTGTTTCAAATTTTCTTTTAATTGTACACATTTAACAAATAAAAACTAACGTGTATCAACGGTCGACAATAAACCACACTTAGAACAAAAGTCGAAAAAGCTAACATTTCGAGTAACAGAGAAGACTTAAGGACCAAACAATTCCACATCAATAATGCACTTGAAATCTTCACCGGAGATTGGTACCGGAGTTGAAGGGACTTGAAACTTTCACCGGCCAGCCCGAACCGTGCCCAACCCTACTAATAACTCGAAACAGGTAAAAGTTTCTGGAGGCAAATGTGAAAAACCCAGAACTAGTTAGAATATTTGGACCAAAAGGAAAAAAAAATCCAAATCCTGAAGCGGTGGCTGACTAAAATCATTGCTTGTTCAACACGGCAGAGGCTGAAGGAATGGAATATTCACTGGTTTGAGTGTGACCCTCTTGACCAACAGCTCATGGTTCAAAGGATTAGGACAAGACCTCCCTAATCTTAATCCTAATTCCATCCCTTCAAACTGGAAGCATCTCTGTCACATCCCCTTCTTCTCCTTTGTTATCATTACATCTTAGAACTAGGACTTCTAAACCATTCTATACCTTACATTACCCTTCTTTTGGGGTTTGAAGATTTGATGCAGCCATGTACTCAAGTAACATGGCGGAATCGTGTTTTTAGGCGCAATGTGTTGAAAAGGATGTAGACAAGCACACAAGACAGCTGTGTTTATGCTATTATGAAAGAAATATGCTAGGGACAGTTGCCAAGGCGTGCGACAATGTTTGTGCACAATATGAACTAGAGAGTTTCGTAACAAACAATTAAATCCTAAATGATCAGCAGCCCAATATAAAATTCTCAATGTTTTGACTCCTCTATATGTAGCCATTGGCACCAGACTCCTCTATATGTAACGCTTAAACTCTATCGGCCTAAATTTTAAAAATTCACATTGAGATACTCACATGGGCGGTATCAACATGACTGCAGCTTTCTTTACACAGAAGACATCTCCAGAAATGTGTGAAATGATGACGATTTGTTCCCTAATCATCTCCGTTGTCATTTTGATTGTTTGAATGGTTGATGGCTTGAGCATTATACAACTCGGCTACCTGAACTTAGAACAAGTGTGTGAGAACAGATACACATCAATATTGTACAATTTTGTGTTTCAAATTAACTTTCTTCACCTGTTCAGACGATGTGGCTTGCTCTGGAGGTTTATCTTCCCGAACACGAATTAGACGTGGAAAGCGGAGAGAGATACCCTGATCTCACGTGCACATAGAATTAGATGAAGAAAACACATCATCTAATTCACATTTCACAAAGTAATAGCAAATATTGACAAGTAAAAGAAAATAAAATCCAGTTAACCTTATTAGCATCCACTATGCCAACTGCAGCACGATGAACGGGGCTAATAGTCAGGTCCGCAGCTTTCACCTCCCAAACCTGAGAAAAGAAAAAAAAAACCTAGATGTTCAGGAATGCATACCTATTAAAATTGCGGTCACAAATTTTTTTTATTATTAATGCCAAAATGTTCTTTCTTTTTATGGTTGAAATACCTAGATTCTCAGTAGATAACAAGAATATTCTACCTAAATATTAAGAAAAAGGATAATTAATTTCTGCATGCATCTGTAAAGGTGAAAATGCCACAAATTCAATCAGCACATCCTTTTGAGGCTAAAAGAAAAAAAGGCAATTCTTGTAAGTTTGAAAAGAGCATCATTCCATGAATTTTGATAGTAACTTTTACTTGTATCAAAAACAGGATCAATCTAGTCTATTGTATTGGTTTGCTCAAAGATCTATCTGTACAGCTTAAGAATCCAAACTACTGGTCGGATCAAATACGGTCCAGGATGTGCTTCAACAACCAGACTGGGGGTGACTCATGCATCTTTAAGTCTCACTATTCTGGCCAAGTTGAAAACGGGGGCTAAATAAGCCCTACTTCTCTCTTTGTCAACACTAATGACGAGAGCGCTACTGGTTTCTTCTACCTCTTATAGCTGATGGAGGTGTACAGGTGTAGCATTAAGTGATAATTGGGACTGGTGTCAGATCTGGGAAATCTTTTATAATATTACATGTTTTTTTACAGCTAAATATGGGACAAAAATAAATCCAAGCCAAGCAAATATTCCTAAAGTAGTCCAAGCCAAGCAAATCCTGTATATCAAACATGCCCTTAATGTGCAAAATGAACTCAGCAACACAATCGAAGTGCTGAGGGAGTTCTATCACAAAGGTATATGCACAGAACAAAAAGGCAATGATTATTACCTCTGAGGGATCAAACCATACATCTGGATTCAATGAATCAGAATACCTATAATATGGCTGGAATTGACAAGAACACAAAATTAGCAAGAGAATCCAAAGAACAAAATACATAAAAATCAGACTGAAAGAAGGAATCATAGACCTTAGGTTTGGGTATCATTTTCGTAAGGAGACTGGCAGAGCGTTCTTCAAGCATTGCTTCGGTGAGTCCAGTGCCTGTATAGCATCAAGATATACAGCAGACCGATCAGTAATAGGTACAACAGATTTGGAAATCACTGAAAAGGTTGCAAACATGTACATAACAAATTGCACTGACCTACTTTACAAATGCTTTGAAACTCTTCATTATTGCTATCATAACAAGCGAGGAGGAATGCACCATAGACACCTAAGGAAGACCAAGATCATGATATCAGCTCCACCTTGTCTTTCAACTTAAGAATAAGATGATGATAGTTTAAAGAAGAAGAATATTGGATCACCGATACACTGAAGATAAAACTAATAGATGTAAATTGACTGGAAACTTTTAAAGGGTGTTGCCTTTACGTGGAAGAAAAATGGAAGAATTTTTAATTATTAAATCCAGAAAGAAACATTTCAACAGAAAGTGCCTGTTCATTCAACTGAAAATGCTGTTTCATTACAGTTACCTGTACGTTTTCCCCGGCCATGGAAAGCAGCAATAGGTACCAAGTCTAGTGAGTCCCCAATACTGAACGGCATAGCAAACGAATAAATAGAAAATTCACAAAGCTTTATCAGGATTACTAAAATGGAAAATGCTAATTGTATCACTCACCTGTCCATGTAATCTTTCTTCAATTTCAGCCAGTTAAGTGACCGCTTTGAAGGCTCGTAGGTAGCATCTTTGTTCAATGTTTTAATAATTAAACCCTCGGAACTGCAATCCAGGATGAAGGAATAACGTAAGAAGGGCATAGCTTAATGAGAACAAACTTATACAGGTAAAGTAAATTGGGATGCAATGCAAGTGAAAGGCCAAACCACAATTAAAGTAAATACTAAGACAGAAATTCATAAATGAATTAGTAATATTATTTTCCACCTTCATGAAATGTATTTGTGCACAATTTGCAACCCTAGTGTGATTCAAATCCAATGTCAGCACATTTACGAAATTTGAATTACTTTATTTAATTTAATATCCATTTTCCCCCTGAAAAGTCAAAAGAACAAAGTGAATACCTTGAACTGACAGCAGCATCAAGAAACTTTTGTATTTCATCTATATCATTTGATGTTAAGGCTGTGGCAAACTGAAAAAATCCAGCTTCTTCCACAAAAGAGTCATACAGACACTGCACAAGGCAACAACAGACTCGGGTGTAAGAAAATATTATTACTTTCTGGTGTAAAAGAAATAGTAAATTTTGACATCAATTCGTTTTACTCTACTAAATTTCGATATGCAGGACTTGGATATTAGTTATTAATTTCCAGAGAAGCCCAATTGCTTCCATCCAAAACAGAAATAACCGTAAATTGTAAACTTAATTGAGAAGAAAGAAAAAGTTATACCTCTCTACGAACTTTCAGTTGTTCCTGAATAAGTGGTCGGCCATTAAGATACAACATATCAAAAGAAAATATGCAGACTTCAACCTTGATATCACTCACGCTCACATTTTTACGAGGTCTAGTGCTGAGTACCTGAAACGATAATATCTCGTTAAGTCTTTTAGATAGAAAAATAAAAAAGCATTCAGAAAACATTATGATATTTATGCATCATCATTAGTGAAGCCAGAACAGGAGTAAATAGCCATATATATGCTTTATCATTATGTGAAGGAGGTGTAGAACAAGGGTCAAAATTTGAGGGTAACTGCTGCTCTTCCGTAAGTGCTTTACTCAAAATGTTTTGAATTACATTTGAGAAGATTTCTGGGACAAAAACAAATATGGAGTGAGCCAAACTCCTATAGGTGGGTAGGAAACCATCATGAAGAGCACCAAGAATAAAATCTGGACTGCGGTGAGGAAATAAATTACCTGGAAGGGCAGAATTTTCTGTTTTTCACGGTCGTAAGCAACAATTTCGCAATCCAAAACAAATGATGTTACAGATGACTTCTTTAACCTGCAAGCTGACAGAAAACATTAGTAGATAAAAATTTAGGAGCACAATTAACATTCTGGATAACATGAAGTTGCAACCATAGAGCTCTTTCATGATAAAAAACTAACTTTTCACAACTAAACTAGTGAAATACAGGTCGGAAAAATTCAAAACGCATACCACCAGACCACAGACATTAAGTCAAGCATCAATTTGTGTAACGTAACAGATGCCACATCACCCTAAATTTATTAAGTCTAACTTTTCAGAAATATTATTTACCTAAATTTATATGACATTAGTTACATTAGTAGTGACGTAGTCATAGAAGACAGATTCCCAAAGAAATTTGAAAATAATCAGTTTATATCACGAGAGAAGACAAACTTTTGGATTTAATTCTAGAGTAACAAACTCCCCACGTATTCTCACACCTAAGTTCAATATGCAATATCATACAACCAAGACAGAAGCGTACCTCGACACTGCAACAACAACATCAGGGTACTTTCCGGTGTTTCTTTCAGCATTTCGACTGTATATCTCAACCGAACCATTTTCCATGAAATGTATCTGTAAGAAATGGGGACGTTATTGTAACCAGAAAAGAAGGAAAAAAAAGAAAAAGGAAGCACACGATGGCACACAACATATCACAAAGCAAACAAGATTACATGCTGGAATTAACAAGATGGTATCACCTGGGCACGTTCTCCATCATACTTGTATTCACATGTGTATTCTGTATCCTGAAACTTCTGTACAATCTCAGATACCCCTTTAGTTGGTTTTGCTAGCATAGGTCCAACTGGGACACCCAAAGTAAAGTTGCATATCTCTGGAAGATTCCACACGCCACCACTTAAAAGGGCAGGGACGATTTTATCGTAATCAGGAAGCAGAGAGTACACTTGCTTAACTATTTTTGCAGCCTGACCAGTCAAAATTTTAGAGAACGTATTACAAGATAGAACTAAAGACCATCAACAAAAGATCAGTTCAGCTTGTAGCTGATTGGAAATACTTATATTTTCATAAAATCAAGCATACTTGTATTAGCCAATCAAACTAAAGGATAATTGATTAAAAACTTTGGCATGAGATTTCTAGACCTGCTCATTTGATCTAGACAAACTAAACTCACCTCTTCTAGAGACTCTGATCATGAGGAGGTTGGTGTGATTTTTTTTCAGTACACGGAGCTTGTCCCAATGCAGCTAAAAGAGTCTGCTCTGCCAATCCATTTCCACTTTGACTACAAGACCACTAAGCACTGTACAGGTGGGGTAAAAATTTATTGTCAACAACTGTAAACTACTCGTGACCGAATGCAGAACTGAAGCAAACGGATTCAGAATATAAGGGTCTTCAGTGTCAGTAGTGTTCAGATGCCCTGATATGGTTTTTTCCTCTCCTGTCTATCCTTCCAGATGCCGTTAAATTTCAAAAGCAAAGGTAAGTTAATTACGGGAAAAATATCCTATAATATAAAAATTTAACCCTCGCAGAAGTCGTATCTTTGCCACTCAGTTTGAAAAATTACCTAAGAGAAAAAAGTTACCACTAACTGCTCCCGTACTATATGTATTGCTTCATAAACTTCATAAACGATAATGTCCTTTTTGTTTCTGTCTAACTAAAAAGAAAATTTCCAAACAAAAAGTTCTTTTGAGAAGAAACATAAAGGCAGTGCAAGGCTGTGGACTTGATCCCACCAAATTACACTCACATTTGTTTTGGAAATGGTGAATAACTATAACAGAATCATATAGGTAATAGTACTCGAAAAGGCCAAAAAAAAATCAATTGAGAAAAAAAATTGTAACTATCAATCCGGCCCTAACATAAGCAGCTCATGGCAGACAAGAAAAGAGGCATAAGATCAATATTATCAGGAGGTTAAAGTGTCGGAGGTTAGGTTTGGAAATATGAAGATAGATCACCTTAGCAAGTAAACGATTACTGTTATTACTTGGCGACTGTTATGCATCAGGCGTGCATCGTATTGAGAAGCGGTTTAATGGATTTAACACGACGAGATTCCCTTTCTATAAATTTGAGATCCTCAAGTAAGAAAATTTTAAAATAGTCCAAAGATCCCACACAATCAATAGTCGGGTAGATTATTACTTTTTCGGGTTCTTACCTTCCCACTGTATATCAGACTAGATTGCACATATTTAAACAAACAACCCAAATTAATGATAAAACACACTTTTTTTAAGGTTAATGATGAAACTCACATTGATCACACAAATGTCGATAGACATCAAGATAAATGGAAAGCAAAAAAACCACATGTATACCTGTATTGGCTTCTCACTCGCCTCAGGTCCTCCCACAGGCCTCTGAAGCGCCTTAATAACGAACCGTCGCCAATTCCAAGCTCCAAACCCTCATGCGCTGGCGCAAATCCTATTGGCCGCAAGATAGATATAGCAACCATTTTCAGGCGTGGTGTACATTACAGTTCTCAAATGTTACAAACAATATCCGTGATCACAATCCGACTGTCTCTTGGTCAATCAAATCGAAACCAAAACAACAAACACAAAGAATCCCTCGCTGGCCCCAATTCGCCACCAATTTAGGGTCAAATCCCTGACTTTCTCTTCAATAGCCGCATGCTGTTAATTCCTCCGTCGCTCCTTCGGCACCCGCCGCCCACCACTTTCTTCCCTGCGACTACCTCTTCTGCACAGCTCGAAATTCTGGGTCTGGGTTGTGCGGCACGTCGGCGAGATAGCTTGGGTTTTTCGATAGGATTTGGGTCCTAGGGTTTTTCGCTTCTTGAGGGAAGAGGCTGAGCTTTTCTGGCGGCGGAGCTCGGGCGGGGACAAATGAGGTCCTGAAGGCGAGGGGTGGGAGGACATGGGCACGGATGGGTTTGGGGGGAGAGGAATGGAGGAGGAAGAATGGTTTGGGGAAAGAGGAGATGGCTTGTGTAGACGGCGGCGAGAGCGGAGACAAAGACATTGAGGACTTGGGAAAGTGAGGGTGTGAGACTCAAGAGATAAATGGCGGGAAATGTCGTTGAGGCGTCTAACTAACTATCAAGAAGAATGCATTTAATTTATTCTCGTAATTGTTATTGGCAGTCCAAACGTCATAATCGATTATTTAGAAAATAATACTAGTTCTAAAAGTATTGATTTCTTTGGAGTTTAACTGTTTTTTAGTTGAATATTATAAGGATAATGATTGATCTGTCAACAGATCAAATGAAATAGGTAATAATTATAAACATTGTAACAACTCATTATCAAAATTAAAAAAAACTGATATCTGTTGGTCATGTCGAAAATCGACAATTCATAGTTGGTTGTTTTTTTCGGATTTTTTATTTGCTTGCCGACCTCTAGTTTTCACACTATATATAAGTCTAGTCTTGTAATTCAATAGAGTTATGTTGAATTTAGTATGATAAAGTGTGATGAATTTGCTACAATTGCGAGTTTCGTTTTCATTGTTTTGTGAACTGCTCTTATTTGAAGAGTCATAAATATGTTGTGCAGGAATTTGTTGATTTGCTCCAAAGCTTCTAGCGGCCAAGGGATCTTTAAGAGCATTACTCCTAGAGCCCTCCACCCCTTGGTAGTGCAATATTAATCCATCAATGAACAGTAACTCCTTTAGAATAGTAATTGTGTCATTAATGATAATAATAGTTTTTTGCATCTCCAACATTGTGAGCCCTCCCCTGAGCAATATGTAAAAAATTAGTTTTTTGTTTGTTTAAATAATTATAAAATAAAAATCATGGAATTGGGCTGCAGGCCCTCGGCTGACAATCCAAAAAATAAAAATGCCTGGCCCGCGAGCTGCAGGCCTTTCTAATTCCCCACCCCGCTTGTGCTCGGGCTCCCACCTCACTCCGGGCTCTCCAAGGCTGGAGGGTTGTCCATCGGGCCTTAACCTTTCCTAAGTGCCGTACGCGGCGTCACGGTACTGCTTAAGCAGATAAAAGTTAAATAGCAACAAAAACGGGGGTCCGACTCTTTCCAATTTGCCTCAAAAGCAAGGAGCAGTGCATCCTCATTATCTTCTAGTCTCTAAACCTACGTGGATACAACAGGGTTTCCACGAAAAGATTTTCATATTTTTATTTCACTTTAGCGAGAAGATTATGTAAGAGAAAATTAGATGTGAAAATTCAATGCATCTGTAGAATCTCGGTCTCGATTGCGTACCAAACTGTCGGAACACAGGGTATTCTTCAATTTGGTGTGATCATAGATAAACATACAATTTATATGTACGATACATTTTTAGTGTGTTTGAGGAACAGCAAAGAAGGAAGGTGTAAGTGATATCGTGGATGATTCCTAATCATTGATGTAAGTGTGGAGACAACCACATCAATGGCCGGAGTCAACCATGTTTGCACACATGGGCAACCATCCCTAGCGTTCTCAAATTTGCTTAGAGACATTATTCACTTCAAGTATTTGCAAAAACGTGCCTGTTCGAGCGATTACGAATTTCGTCGGGGATGTTCTGGTCGACGAGCACTACAGCTCCGTGGAGGTTGCGCCGGTGAGGACTGTGTCCGGGCTTTGTCGAGCAAGTCTGTCGGGCAAGACTCTCGGGCAAGGCTTGCGGGCAAGGTTGAGAGAGGACAAAGAACTTTGAGGTGCTCTTTGTTAGTCCTTGGTGGTAGCCCTTGAGCTCATAACCAGGTTAACTGTTTGGTGGCAAGGCTGTACTGATCTCAGATGCAGATGTGAAATGGGTGTCCCAGTTTTAGTTGTTGTTAATTACGAAACCGTGTTTAGGTAATATAGGTGCCTTGCGGTAGTGTAGCCCTGGGCTTCCCATAAATAATTAAAACGTGCCCAAACACACTCAATAATTTGTTCTCCTGATTGTCGGAGTTTAAACAGTATACCATCTGATCCCAGCTAAAAGAGAATTGATCTTCATAGGTGTCCTTGTGGGGCCTTAGATAGTTTGAGTCTCCTCAGACCATTCTTTATACCTCCTACCCGAATACAAATGAACCCAAATGGATTGTATGTGGGCCTTGGTGAGGGTCCTTGAGTTTCCGAATGATTCATTCTCGTCTATGTTTCACTAATAGCCTTAAACTCTCTAAGGTCGATATTGGCGTAAGTAACTTCGGACTTCTCGTTGCAGGCTGTCGTGGATGGGTTTTCCCCATAAAGTTCCTTTTTATGCGCTTGAGGCCAAATTTTCATTGATAGAAAATCAATGCTGATGGTTAGGAATCTGATCTGAGTTGCGCTTAGATAATTTTCAAACGGATCCAAGGAAAAACGCCTTTTTAGTCCTTTATTGGCTTAACTTGCATTGCCTGAGTGGCCATGGACTTTCTCAGCAAATGACTTCGGGCAAGGTTCCCTTATTGGGTATGTAATCTGTATTTGTCCTATCTTTGTAGTTTTTCAAAATCGAGGCTTTTAAGTATAGGAGAGATTACAAGAGCTCGAATATACAGAATTAACATAGCAGGCTATTACAATTTTGGAAGAGTATCCCGCGAGGAGTGAAGCTTTGTGTCTCCGAGAGGATGAAGGCTGACTCAGCTTGTTTGAGGCAATCTTCTTTGAGCAGAGTTTGTGCTGCATTTTTGTTTGTTTGAGTGTTCCTTATCCTGATTTTCTTTCTTCTTATAATAGACAACTCGGTTTGGGCTTCTGTAGCAGCAAAGCTGTTGCCCGAATGTCGGTTTTGAGGGTGATGACTCAATCAGCCTATTTTAATGTAAGCCACAATAAAAGTGCCTTTTATGGGCTGTGTAGCTGATCAGTCTACACCACTTGGCCTTTGGGTAGGTAAGCAAATGGTCTTCATGAGCTGCACCAAGTCAGAAAAAGGCCGGTTCCCTGCCTTCTGGGCCCTTGACTGGCTCTTGGCTATTTTACCCCTTTGGCCTCTTTCGGGCCAGCTCCTTCCTTGACCCACGTTCAAAATTGGTTGTCTTCTCTATCGTTTTTAACAAAAATATTTGAGTATGCATTTCCTAGATTCGTTTAATGTTGGGATACTTACGTGCTGTTATGTTCTCATATCTCTTTACACAGAAGCCATCTCCAACTATAAAAGGCACTTTTCCTCAGTTCATGCCTCGTCTGTCTGCCATTTTTGTTTTGTTGCAATTGAACTTACGCAGGAAGGTAGTGTGAGATTCCATAGAATGACGTCTGTATTCAAATTAACCTTCAACCGACTTTCAGA